TTATAGTATTATTGCTTCATAGCCAACATTGGTAAATTAGAAATTTGATATTTATTATAACATGATTGATCTTGAAAGATTAATGAAATTTGAAAGTCGTGATTTACTCTGGAGGATAAGTTGTTGTTGTTTTGACCTCAAACGACCTTTTCGAGTAAACGTGATAGGTTGAATCCGTTTCTACCTTTTTTTCTGTGGCACTAAACGAGTAATCAATTGAGGCACCGATATAATTTGTTTAATGTAACTTACATTCGTACTATTAAGTATGAAACTTTCATTATAAAAAAAATAATTTATTTATTTAAATTTTTTTTTCGAGGTCGTACTGCAGATGGTCGTTGATTGCAGCAAGATTGCCGGGTCGAACAGACAATGAGGTAAAGAACTACTGGAACTATCATTTGAGCAAGAAGGTATCAGACACGGGAGTATTAGTTGCAGGGTTTTCAGACAAAGAAACTAAAGTTGAGGACTCGAATGCAAATTCTAGTAGTAAAAGTAGCAGGAGCAGCAGTGGTTTTGAGGACTCAAATGCAAATTCTAAAGTCAATGATGATGACTTCTTTGATTTCTCAAATGAGAGTCCTTCAACACTAAGTTTCTCGAATTTGGTAGCCATTGAGTCGGTGGCCGAGCCAGAATTTTATTTTCCCGGTGAACAAATATATACAATAAAAGTAATATAGGAGGGCCACAATATTGCATTATTCGAAAATAATTTTCTTTCGCAGAACGAGTTTTAATCTGCAAAGAATATGTCTGTGGAATGAAAATAACCGTAAACTATTTTGTAAAATGCACGCCACTTCTTGAGGGACGACCATTTTCACTAGCAGTATCATCTTCGAATTGTCAGTCTACCACCACTAGGACCTAATTATCGAAAATCATTAGTGACGAGTTGAAAAGCATTCAGAAAACAAAACGTAATTCTATGTACGAACTCATGCACTCATAGATTTGTTTGACGGAGATTTACTATCATCGATGACAAATGTCTGAATTTTAAACTACTCAACGATTGCAAAAGGAAATTGCCGATTCGGGTTTACTGAAATGGATAACTGTGTTGTTATGTATTAGGGAAAAAAACGAAGTAAAGGCAGCATGAGTTTACCTATATTTACTTTACGAATGTACAGAATAAATTCTGGGTAGTAATTACCCCCACGCCATGGAGCATGCATAATTCACCACCAATTTGCCGTCGAAACCAAAGTTCTGCATAAGTAATAAAACATTTAATTTGCAAAACCGTACAAACAATTAGCAAGGTCAACTCCATCTCCGGGAAATAAATTATCATGCCATAGTTTAATAGATGAAAAGGGACTGGAGAAAATGAGAAGGCGTATGTTTACGTAAGGGTCACCAAAAAAGAAAAGGTTCGCCATCAAAAGAAGAGAACTGAAATTTAATGATATCAGGATACATTTGTATTTTATGTATTTGTAAAGCTGAATCTATGGCAATAAACACCACTGTCTACCAGTCAACATATCTTTATGGTAGCTAATAAAACTCCACAAAAGCAAAATACGAAATAATCGCACAGCAATATATAAGTTAATTTCAGACAAAAAGACGGGCTCGTAGATTAACTGAATAGAAAAGAAACTGAGTATTCAAAAACAAAAATCTCAGATCCTCACATAATTCCAGAAGATGACATTAAAACGACAACTTACATTATAGAGGTCTGAGACCAACTCATCAGGATTTGGCGAGAATGCACTGTTTACATACACAAACTGAGAGAAGCAAAATATAAATTTAGTACCACTAAGAAAAAAAAAAGTGATTATGAAGGCCAAATTGAACGGTAGAGCAGATTTACCAATGTCTCCCGATGAAGCTGACGACGAAGAAAATCGATTACTTTTACAAACTTGTCAGTCCCAGCAATCTGCATTTCAGGAAATAATAATAATAATGCCTTATTAAAATATTAATGCAATCATTATCAAACAATATTGTTTCTTAAGAAAAGGGATAACAAGTATTGTGCATGGACAAAAGACAACAGATACATCACATACGTAGAAGCATATCCAACGTGAGACGAGAACTTCCGATAACACGATTGACCCCCACCCCGGCCCCACCCCACCCCACCCCACTCCCCCCCACACACAAAATGAACTACTCATTTTACGAGCAAAAACTCGTAGGACAATAATATCTCCAACTGAACAACTAATATAATGAACACAAAGTAGAAGGAGAATTGTAGAGATAAAATAGAGCAAATATATTTATTTTTCTTCTTCTTGTATGGAACTCATTACGAAGTGTTCTACTTATAGCACAAATAAGCCCATCCTAACGAGGAGTTACGAGATGATTAAAGGGACTTACACCCCTTTTAGCCGATCCTAACCCTTCATTCGACACACTCAAATTGTTCGAGACCTCTCATAAAATTAGGACTCTTCAGTGGACACCAATAAACCCGTAATTTCACAACGAACGAAAATATTACCGACCCTTTTTACCCATTGTCGAAGTGGTATTCGGCAGAGTTTAATTTGACCTAGTTACATACAGATTACGAGTTTAAAAATGATTCTTGCTATCTGCATTAGCTGTTTGCACATGTTTCTTCACCAGATAATTTACCATATTTTCCAACTATAGGGTTTTACCCATTCTCAACAAACAGTCAAAACTAAATCATAAATCAGACAAAATTCAAAACACAAATAAACTAAAGCGGTAAAAAATTATTACAATCCGAATTGAAATTTTGATTCGAAACAGATTACCTTGAATTTGGCTTGCTTGAGAATCGGAGCATCGCCGGTGGCTCTCAGATGAACTACAACTGCAGTGATTGTCAATATTAAAAATTAAAAAACAAAAATCGATATCAAATTAAAATAATCGAGAAATTTCCGATAAGGTTTTCCTGTTAATAATTCATAATTTAACAGAAATTCATCGCCGGAGATTGTAAATCAGTAAGATCATCTGACCTTTTCGAGTTTCCGAAGCCATACGGAAGTAGCTGCAAAACTTTTTTTTTTTTTTTTTTTTTATTTATTTTCGGTTTTATGTTGTTTCCTTTTCGCTTAACGCGCGTTTCCAACACACGATTCTTTTCTAAAAGCGCGTTAACCCAAAGGTAGCCTTATTTTTCTTCAAATATATTTTAGGCAAAATACAGTTTTGACCCCTCAAGTTTGAACCTATTTTACATTTAGTCCCTATATTTTGAAAATTCAACACTTTTAGTCATTTCCGTCAATTTTCTGTTAAAACTAACGGCATCAAACATGTGCCCATCAGTACCATAACTGACGGACTATGGGTAAATTGACGGAAATAACCAAAAGTGGTAATTGACGGAAATGACCAAATGTGTTTTTTGTGAAAATTAGAGACCGAATGTGAAATAGTTGCAAACATGGGGGTCAAAACTGTAAATTTCCAAATATGTTTTCCATAAATATAGTTCCAAAAGTAGCCTTTTATTTTTCCATCATGGTAGAAAAAAGGCAGAGCAATGAGTGAAGGCCGAATCCCGCAGATGAAGTAAACGAGGAGAGAGAAAGTATCTGTGAATCTGTCCATCTGTCAAACCCCCTCTCTCTCTCTCTCTCTCTACAAATTCTAGAGAGAGAAAGAAGAAAAACCCCTCTCTCTCTTTCTCTCTCTATGATTTCAGGGCCTCTGCTCAATCACCGTCAGTTTTAACTAGTCTTGGTAGCTCCGCCGTGCCGGAGCTCTTCCACACATTCTAGAAAACGACTGTCGGAAGTGGGTTCAAATTAATTGTCCTGTATTTCAAGGTGAAGTGTTGGGAATTTTCTATTGGCTCTTTTCTTTTTCCAATTTTTTGTGTTTTTTAATTTATTTATAATTTTGTTGTTTTCATATGCATTTTCCTGCAATTAATTAGGTGCTGATTGGATAGTGTTAATAGAATTAGAAACAAGTTTTGACCTTTGATTGGTTGTAATAAAAATTTGATCTTGATTATGATATGATATAGAATTAGTGTTTCATCTTCAAACTGTCTTCATTTTTCCATTTTCCAGATAATTTGAAGAAGAAAAAATATAGAAATATGTATCTATATATTGTATCTATATGAGTGGCAAAGACGTAATTATGAAAAGAAAAGAAGGGATGATTAGTGCTAACAGTCACTTCAATTATTTGTAATTTTCTTGATCAAGATTTGATTTTTTTTTTTGCAGAGGTTTTAATAACTTTCTATGTGGGAAGACCGAAAAAGGGGCGATGGAAAACAACGTATTTTCGAGCATTGCTGACGGCGCACAGATCGAGGGCAAGTTTCTTCAGACATTCAACAAAAACTTTGTGCTGGTCCAAACAATTTTGGACCAGAACAGGCTCTTAATCAACGAGATCAATCGGAATCAAGAATCCAAGATCCCCGACAATTTATCCCGAAACGTGGGGTTGATTAAAGAGCTCAACAACAACATTAGAAGGGTCGTTGATCTTTACGCTGATTTATCCGACTCGGCTAAATCAATGGAAGCTTCCTATGAAGGGGAATCGGCCGGGACTATTAAATCCGACGGAAGAGGTGGACTAAAGAGGGTTAGGTCCGAAAACTGATCGTATTTTTTTAGTCTTTTCTTTTTATTTTCACTTCGATTCGTGATAATATTCTAGAAAAGATTCCGTTTTGGACCCTCTGTTGGAAAATGCATGATAGAGGGACTCGATTTCTTGAGTTTAAATAACTTTTTTCTTGCATATGGGAATAGTGGATACACATTCAGCTGTAGTTTATGTAGCTTTCTTTTCATTGATAAAGGTAATTAATTTGTTTTTCTACAATAGAGCCTACATATTTAATTATTATCTCTTCATTCAGTTTTATTGCAAAAGAACATTAAAACTTTGATGGGAGTTTAGGTAGGTGTCTTACATTATTGTCGTGTGGTGCTTTTTGATGGGAAGTTTCAACAGCCATATATATATATATAAATAAAACGATATTTCTACACCAGTCATCTGCAATTTAGATATTTTATGATTTAAGCTAAGGTTGAGAATTTTTGTGATTTAGATATGTACTTCAAAAGGTTATTTGTAATTTATATTTTTTTTGATTTTAGTGTTCGGCAATTTAGAAATTTTGATGGATAGTTAGTACGAGTGGCGATTTAGAAATTTTGATGGATAGTTAGTACGAGTTAGTTAGTACGAGTGGTAAGTGTACGTAATCACGCTAACAAGAGAATTTTTTTCGCAATTTACTCAATAGTTGTGGCCTGTGGTATGTGTACTGAGATTGAGGGAGGGCAAAAAGCTTCCATACCCTTTCGTTTGAAGAAGAATAGTCGAATCGAGAAAAATGTATCGGAGTGAAGTTTTACTTTAGTTTGTTGTACGAATAAGTCGAGTTTCGAGTAATTTACAAATATTGTACAATCCAAAGGATTTATACAACAACACCAAACACAAAATAATCACATACAATGCACCATAAATGAATTTACATATTTTTATGCACAGGCATCTGATATATTCTAAAATGATACGACATGTTTCGAAATTCGAAGTACCTAGATTCGCCTTCGTGTTTTTCAAGCTTCTCCGCTCGACATATCCATCAATGTAGCAAAGCACTTTTTCCAATCCGAAACCTTTTCCTCACCGTTAATCACCTGTTGTTTGAGCACAAAAAAAAAAACGAAAAAAAAACGTTAAGATAATTCAAGAAACCATAACAAATAATTACGAGTAAGAAAATAATAGCATGTATTTAGTATATCCAAACCTCAAATACCAATCCTTTAACCGGGACATTATCCAGCGCTTCTACACAAATAAACGAGGCGTCTTCCTTGCTAAGACTACCCTTTGCTGCACTACCCTGTCATGATCAAATATTGAGTTAGAAACATAAAGAAAGGCGAGAAAATAGATACATGTTTTTACAAAATAACATCAAAACGACAGTCGAATTAACAGATCCTAGTTGTTTTCTTAAGTAAAAAAAAAAATTAACCCTACACCTTCATAAAAAGTTTATCTGGTAGTTATGAAACATCACTATTGCAACATTAGCAGGCTTTCAATGCGAACAAACATACCTCTTTGAAGCAAAAACCTTGTTGGCCGCCAGGTGTATCTTTTAAGACACCGGTCCGAATAATGCTATACGGCACACCCGATGCCTTCACCAAATTCTCGTCTTGCTCTGCTAGTTTTCGTGCGTTGCTATTCATTACTGCTTGAATACCAGTTGAGCCCCTATAGACAGACAACTGAAGACTTTCACACACTTACGATATCAAATGTGTATTGTTGAGGTCAGTGAGCCTAATATGCATCGGAAATTGCAGATACCTGAGATAACAGGATCACGTGTTGTATACCTTTCCAGCTTTCGAGATTGTATAAAAACCCTTCCTAAAAAAATACTCCGTAAGTCAATTAGACGAGAGTCGAGATTATTTAGCATTAGGAAAACAAATATGGGTGAAGTGAATACATTTGGGCATATAACTGCACGAACGCCTCTTAATGCCTTCTTCAAAAACGCCTTGTCTTTTGTATCCCCGGCCATTGACTTCAAGACAAGTTTAGTATGTCGGATTTTAGTAACCAAAAAAAAAAGTAAAAAATCGAGTAACTAAATCATTTGAGATCTTTTTTTAATGATACCTCAACGTAAGTGCCGAATGCTTCCATAGCAACGCGCTTATCCTTCACGAGTGCCTTCACTCGAATTCTTTTGACAATGAGCGAAAGTATGATCATCTGTAGTAGAACCCAAATAAAAAGAAACTCAAAAATTCGTAAAAAAAATATCATTGTAGACTTATACTAGATAAATTCAACGAATACAAGAAATCTCGAGCTCAAAATAACAAGCATCACCTGACCGATCTCATTATCTCCGTCGGTTACTAATACTGCATCTTTAACTTCATCTTCTTCTGTTTCCAGATAAGCAAAGGAAATGATTAATCTGGTCATTTACGAATTTTTTTTAATAAATGCAATAAATCCACTAGAATATTGCCCAAGTATACGAGACCTGGAGCCTCGTTTTCGGCCGATTCGATTCCGTCTTTCGAGAGAATATCGGGTGCTCCATACCATTTCCTTAACTTTGGACCCCCTATATTAATAAAATAAAATAAAAAACACACATTCTTAAAGGAAACATCCAAAAAATTTCCCCCAAATTGTGGGAACTGCACAACAAATTCCAGGGTCAAACGATAGCAATAATCACAGACAGCAGTTTGCATTTCTAATACACAGGAAAATTCATCAAATTAAAAATCGTGAAAAAATCATACAAAAGCAGATGAATGAAGAGTGCGACCTTCGATGTAATCGAGGATTTGATCCATGAACCCTAGCTGTTTCTTCTTGGACGAGAAACATGTGAACGATAAACGCTTATCGAAAGTGCGAGAATGTTTGAAATTATCGAAAGCGCGATTGCAGTACAGGGAAGAGGAGTTGAAGAAGGAGATGGTCGGAGCTGAACCCGCCATTGATGAATTGAGCTGGTTGGGATTATTTTCCCTCCACTGGAGCTTTATCTGCGCTTTCTCTCTCCTCCATTCTCAGCTCGAATAACGCTTTTAGGTGTTTTTTTTCTTGTTCCCCAACGCCTTTTGTTTTGGCGCAATAGAAAAAGCGTTTTATGCCAGTTTCAAAAGGGGTGAATTGCGTTTTGCACCCCAGAATTCACAGTGTTTGGTGTTTTGCACCCTATCATTTGAAAATTCGGAAAGTTCACCCTCACAAAATATATCTCATGGCTAGGGGTGAAAGTCGGATGGATCGGATCAAAATTAGCCTTTCGGAAAATTTCTAAAAAATATCGGAAGTACAAAATCAATTCTAATTCCAATTCCAAAATTTTCGGAATCTAAAAATTCATTCCACTTCCAAAAGACCCGGAAATTTCGGAATTTCGGAAAAAAATCGGAAACTACATAAGTTTTAAAATTTCAAAACTTAGCCGAAACTTTCTAAAATGTTCATAATTTTTCGAAAAAAATAGCATCCACTTCGATAAAAGTAAAACTAATAACTACTAAATTTCAGTTCAATAAAATAAATAAAAATAAAAACAACATAATATCCAATAAAACTTCTAGCAACAATTCATTATATCAAGATCCTAAAACAAAACTTATAGGTGTATTTTTCGGAAAATAAGTATTATATAATATATACTATTTATAAGTGTATTTTTCGGAAAAAATCAGAATTTTTCGGAATTTATTTCAGAATTAAATCGGATCGGAAATCGAAAATTCCAAATTTATTTTATATATTTTCAATTCCAATCCAAAAAAATCGGAAAATTTCGGAAATCGGATTTTTGGAAGTCGGAATGAAAAAAATTGTTTCAAAATCAAAACTTTTCGGATCGAAACCGGCGGAAATTGGAAAATTCATTTCCAACTTGCACCCCTACTCATGGCACAATGCAACCTTCCTCAATTTCTTGTGATATTTTAGCCAAAACTCAATAATATATCTTGATATTTTACACATTTGAAGAAATTTCATTGTTCTTTATGTTTTGTTTTTTTAGCTAATATTTATTTTAATTATTTTGCTTGTATATAAATTAAAAAAAAAAACATAACTGATGATTTGTTTTCACATGTTTCGCATAGAATAAAAAAAAATGTATATAAAATTTCTAATTCGATTTAAATTTTAAAGTAATTCAAAAGATAACTGTTTTCAAATGTGTAGTTAAATGGATTAATTAAAATAAGGCTTTTCATATATACATTTTTTTAAACTAAAAACTATAATACACCATCAAGCATGAAAATCCCTTCAAAAGTTAATATATTGATTTTTGGTGGGACTTTGCTAATTTTGAAATACTGGGGTGCAAAGATCCAATTAGAGTTAATTAAAGGGTGCAAAATGCAATTAACCCGTTTCAAAAGTGCCACATTTTCTAAAAGTGCCAAGGACAGCTAGGAAACCGGTAATTCGGGAGGGTCAATTTTGTCAATTCCACGATCGAGGCATATCCGGATTTCACACCGACTTTCAAATCAAGTTAATTCGTAGCTTTCGAATCCGGACTCTTTTGGTAGTAACAACCAGCGTGCTCGTAAAGCCAAACCAAAAAGTAGACACACTGAAATTCAAAAAGAAATCAAAATCCCCAAAACGCAAAACGAATTTACCCTTTCAAACAATAATTTGTCACTATTTCACTCTCGGATTTTCATTTCGCCCCCGCTTTTTCCATCTCACCGGAGCCCCGCCGTTCAGTTGACCGGACTTCGTCGTGAAATTATGCGGTCAGTTAATCGAACGATAATTATATTTGTCCATGCATTTATCACATTTTTTTAGCTGATTCATTTTATACTTTACTGATGCTTATCAATTTTATGCGCCTATTGGTTGTTCTATGAAATTTAGAATGCAATTTTTTATTTTTATTTTTTGTGTGTAAAATATAGTGAGAAACCTGTTGATTTAATTTGTGTATGCTAACACAATTAGAGTGTATGGAGTATTTCATGCATGTGTTGAAGGAATTTGCATTCAGTTTGGATAATGAGGAATTTAGGTTGTTAAGAGGAAGTGTTGTGTGTTTCTTTTTGCAGTCTTTTTCAATGACTGGCATGTGGTGCATTTTAAATGGATACAGTAGTTGATTTTGTGGGAAGTGAAAAGGCTAATGCTGAAGATTGTACGACCTCGAATATGTCTGCGGATCCCATTGTTTACCAGCTTGTTCGGGTACGTCTCCATTTGCCAGTGCTTGAAAAGTTTTGTTTGAAGAATCGGTTGTAATGAAAAGATGCTTGCGCTTGCAGATTTATTGTTTCTTATTCTTTACCTTCTTTCTTGCGGGCATAAGTTATTATGGAAGAATGAATTATGATATGTTTTGAGATATTATGGAGATTATTGGAGACTTGATTGATTTTGAGATATAATTGCACGATTACTTGCCTATTGAGGTGTTTTAGAAGTTCGTCTTGTTGTGTAACCTTTTATTTTCTTATTAGCTCTTATATAGAATATAGGAAGTTGTTCAGCCAACATATTTAATGTAGATATGTTGAGAATCTAGATTAGAAGTATTCTACCAATCATTTGTGGCTATGAAAGTGTGAATGTAAACAAACTATTAGATTCCGAATTTGAGAATATATTCTCGTGTTATATGGAATGTCATAACTTGGTCAATGTTTGAGTTTACAGGCAATATGATTGACGGTATTTCTTGGTTAGAAGTATATGCGATAAATCAGTCACACTTTTGAACATTACCTCAATAATGTGCTATTTTCATCTGTAATTTAGTGAGATTTATTTTTTGAATCAGAAATCTGATAGTTCTAAAGTAAATTAAACTGTTGTACCGTCTAAAATTTTAGGTTGATGGCAATGGGAGATTAGTCCCTGCAACAGAAGATGAAGTCATGGCAGTAGAAGATTTGCTTGAAATTGACAAAAGTAATGACACTCCAGACACTTTATTTGAACCATGTGGTTCAAATAAAGTTCAGTTCGAAGGCTCAGAAGGTTCACTACTAAAAGCTATTTTCTTCTTCATTTGTATTCCCCTGTATTCCATCTGGCTACTATAATCATGATTGTCATTGCAATACATTGTGCATGCCCTTAGTCAAGAATTATGTCCGAACCCTTTGAAGATCACTTTATTTTGTTCATGTTTTATTTGTTTTCCTTGTGAGGTTTCAGGACTCTCTTTGTCAGTTTATTTAGTTATATGTTGTCAAAGAAAATATTCCTTCTCCCAACTTCTACTCATATTTTGCTAGTTTTTATTTTCCAATTTGTTATGCCTTGAATAGTGGAGAAAAATATATAAAAGGGAAAATGAGAAATTATGGCACTTAATCCTATGGCAGGTTGGCTACATCTGACGGACATGAGTAAATGAAATTGAGATAACTAATGTATACAAACGTTTGTCCTAATGAGTCTTATAGGAACCAGTTCTATGTATTCATTTGCCAGTTTGAAATATTTTAGGCTCTCAGCCACTCTCTTTGATACCTAGGCATTCTCAGTAGGTCTTAATTAGCTCTAGGTATGCAGACTTAGGTTTTCTTGGCATGTTAGATTTTAGAGGCAGGCTATAATACTTCCAGAGGTGGCTTCCTCTATGTTTACAAGTAGCCCTTTTTTGGGGTATATCTCTTTCGCCTTACAACAGCCTCTAGGCATTGGCCCACTAGACTTACTTGAGCAACATGAACTTGGATTAAGCCAATTGCTCAAAATTCTTAGGTAATTGGAGCATAGAAAGCACTTGTAGACTGGTCATATTCTCCTCTTCCATTTACTTAACATTGTTCCATTTGACGACGAATAGGTTACGTTTTCATTTTTCACACATTTCTACCTTGCAAGTGATCACTCTTATCCTAGTTTTGGAATTTCGAGGTAACGTATTCTTGTTTGTATGCCAGGCCAGCCAAAACTGGAGGATCTAGAAATTGGTGCAGAAAAGCCAAGTATGCTGCCCGACCCAGAAATGGATTGTGGAGAAATAGATGCCCAACATGAGGTACTCAATATGGTGTTTAATATTACATCTTAACAATTCCTTTTCCTTTCCAAAACTCAGCCATTGCTATGGCTACTGTGTCTCATGATTCCTTTCTCGTTAGAGATTTCTTGGATATTGGAATTTTTTTTCTCTTAATGAATTGAAAGGATCCGTTCAATTATTACCACTGATGTTGGCATGTATTTATTTTTGAACTATGCAGGATAGAACTCCTTCATTGGTTCCTAATGCAAGTGATAGCAGTGTTTGTCAATCTGGGAGTGCAGAGGGATGCTCAAAGCTTTCAGGTGGATTATATGAGAATAAAACCTCTAAATCTGCTATTGGTACTGGTTTGAACCCTGATTTCTCACTGTTGAATGGGGAAGTACACCTGGACAGCCTGGGAGTTAAAGAGCTTCAGGATACTTTCAAGGCAACCTTTGGAAGAGAAACTTCTGTAAAGGACAAACAGTGGCTCAAGAGGAGGATTATTATGGGACTGACTAATTCATGTGATTTCTCAACCACCAGTTTCGTAATCATAGACAATAGAGTGGTAAAGAAAGGTAAAGAAGAAGCTTGTAAAAGTATGGATTCCTCTGTTTTGGTCGACTGTGTAGTTACATCTTTGAGGGAGAGCCATGGAAGTCCACCAACTTGCCATGATAATCAAAATGAAAACCACTCAATTGTTGATGGGATGAAAGCACAGAGTTCTACTTTCCAAGATAATTATGAAAGTGAAGATGCCAATACAAATCAAAGACCAACCAAAAGAGTTAGAAAGCCCACAAAACGATATATTGAAGAACTTTCGGAAGGAGAATCTCAGGATTCTGGTGCCAAAGTTGTTTCGTCAGTTAAACACCCTTCATATGACCAGCTGTCAGGGGAAGTTTGTGCAAGACCTGTTCAGAACTCTGGACTAGATGGGAAATGTCTCACCAGAAAGGATTCACTTGGAGCTTTTGGGATCCAGGTCCCGTACGTTTCCAGGATCCGGCGCAGCCGACCAAGGGAAAATTTTATGGCCCTTGCGGTAATGTGAAAGCATACATTTATACGTGATGTGAGCATAAAATTGAAAATCTGGACTATGTTTCTGTGATCTCATTGCATTTTTCTGAACAATTTAGATAGTTTATTGATGCCTTTATTCGTTGGTGTTGCTTTTTGGATGACAAGCCGGGTGAATCGGTTAATCTTGTAGGAAGTCAGAACCCCCCCACCCCACCCCACCCCGATTTTTTTTATTCTTGATGCTGTGGACCAGTTTGAACTAGTTTGTCCCCTTGCTTGTTTATAGTTTTGGTTTTGTTCTTATATCTACCTGTTTCTGGACTCTGGATGGTTGTTATTAACATTATGCATGCTGTAGCATTTCTCATGTCTTCATAAGCTAAATAAGAGAAAATGTTGAATCAACGTGTCTAAGATGTTACTTTATATAAAGTAATGATAAAAATTGTGAAACTAGTGTTTGGTTAAGCTTGTTAGCTGGAGTAATTTACGTGCTTTCCGCTGTTATGTTTAGAAATTTCAGCCAAGTGGAATGGACATGTCAACCAAACTGGAAAATAGTGATGACAAATCCAGCGAACAACTGGACAGTGGAAGCGAGAATAAAATACCCCATAATAGCTCATCTCCCAGATGGACTCAAAACTCTGTAAGTTTTGGTTTTATCCTTGCTTGTTTTGGTGAAAATCCTGTTATTCGATCTCTGACTAAGGTTGATTCCTTGATCAGTAAGCCTTATCTGATGATCTTAAAACAAGAACCTTTTTAAATTTGGCAATGTAGTTGTTTTGATGGATACTGGCTTTTTCTTTTGTTTGTTATTGATGTATATTGTTGTAATTTTCTTAAAAAAACATAAATGTTGCATGTTAACAGCTGTTGAAACTTCCTTATTGGAGTCTTTCATGGCATGTAATTATGTTTTTTATTTTTTTATATTTATTACGTAAAAATGGAATACTTACTCGTAAATCTTGATGGAATCTTTTTATGTCCCTAGCCTATTACTTCTTCAGAAGGATGCAAGCCATATACAGAAAAGAAAAGAATTCAGCTGGAGAAGGAAGTGAAGTCAAAAAATATGGAATCGTCATACAAGACTAGTTCAGATGATGATGTAGCGACTATAACCACTGCAAATGGAGGCATCAGGAGAAAACATCACCGACCCTGGACTCTAAGTGAAGTTGTTAAATTGGTTGAAGGGGTTGCGAAATATGGTGCTGGTAGATGGTCTGAGATCAAACGGCTTGCCTTTGCTTCATATTCTTACCGAACTTCAGTTGACCTAAAGGTAGGTTTTCATAGGGTTCATTGAGCCAGCCAAATAATGAACTTGGTACTTTAAACTGTAGATTTTATGTCATTCACTACTTAGATTTAAGAGCTGCTATTGTTATTTACAGGACAAATGGAGGAATCTCTTAAGAGCTAGCCTTGCCGAACTGCCTACGGGAAATGGGGTAAGCCAAATTGTTCTTATCACTATTCTTTTTGTATGCAAATTTCTACCTCACTCTTTCAAGGATTGTACCAAACCGGGTCATTTCTCAATGATGGTGATACTTTCGAACTGTTTTCATACGAATTTGCTATGTTTCTACAGTCCAACTTCGTTGAAGAACATGTTAATTTTCTTGCTAACTACGTGTTTTCATAGTATGTTTGCATTCTATTTTTTATATAATATATATAAAAAATACAATTTGCTTGCTTAAACCTATCTATACTAAGAAATCAATTGAAAAGGGTCTGCACTAAATCTTTTGCTTTTAACTTTCCAAGATTCTTTTACCCTACTGGATCTAGTTGATTTAAAAAGATATTTCCATTATCGTACAATTGTTATGCTAGCAATCATGATACCCATTGCAAACTTGGGTACTGTTTTTTTCCTATCGACTTTATTTTCTTGATAAACTGTTAAATATCAAACAACTTCAATTAATTGTGGTAATATCATAGATGTTGATGGTCATGATTATTGTTGTTAAAACCTTTCGAGGGAGGAAAGCTGATTTTGCCTTTGCATTGATGTGCTCGTAAAGTCTGCCCGTATCCTGAATGTTCAATATATGTATTTTGCTGAATGGAGGCCTTTTTCTTGGCGAAAAAACTGCTGATAAATCCTGAAAAGTTTTTTTTCATATTTATGTATTAATTAATTTATTTATTTTAATCAAATTTTGTGTTTGTGCAAAGTAGACTGACTTTGTTTTGGTGAATGAACAGATGCAGAATTCTCGGAAACAAGTATCGGTTCCAATCCCAGCTCCAATCCTGTCACGGGTGAGAGAACTTGCTGATATACACTCACATAATGATTCCCATAATAGAAGTGTACATGTAACATGATCAGGGTTTTCGCAGTATTCTTAAATTTACGGAAATGTTTTTTTCTCCCCCTAATTTTTGAACAAGACTCTACTCAAAACTCTCGTCATTGTATAACTACCTCGTTTTTTTAGGATTGTTTAGATTTTCTCAATGAGGCATCGTTCGTTGGTGTTCATTTTGTAGCTCGGTCTGTTAACGAATGCGTCTATGTGTATATGTATGTGTGTGTGTATGTATGCATGCAAGCATGCACACGATTGAGTTCTAAAGTGTTTGGTTGATAGGGTTTGCTAGACAATTAAATTAGGTGATAGGTTTTAAATCTAATTAATACTAGTGTGGGCCCCATTGAGCTTTATTATATTTGATGGACGCGCTTCCACGCGCGCGACAGACCCGAGACAATATGGGCCAGCCCATCATGTGTACCCGAAAGTATATACGGGGCCTCTTCATTAGTGTTTCGGTTGAGGGTGGGCCCATTTTACTTAATTGGGTCCATACTCATTACTCATTAGTGAAATAAATTACTTTCTTTTATTTTCCCTCTATTTTTTTTTTGTTTGAAAATAATTAATTAATTTTGCAGTTTTACTAAGTGAGCCTAACTCCCGATCTCTAAAAATCGTTATAACTTAAGATCGATCAAATGTAACAAACCCTATAGAGTTACGCACGAACAATAAATAACATGTTTTATACTTTTCTTGAATTCACTCATCTCTCTTTACTATTTTCACGTTGCACTGTTCATCTCGAATTCTCTAAATCGTGCGATAGGTCAGCTTTTCCAACGGTCGACTGATAAGGTTCGAAAAAAGGTATCGAGAGTGCAAATTTTTCATCAATATGTGATTATAAAGATACATTTAAAATTAATTTGTTTTTATTTTATTTTGGGATGATCCAAAGAAGGAAAAAATGGAACAATAAATTAGATAGATGGGCCATTAAATTTCATTCATCCATTAATTTAATTGTCCTTATGGCCTTGAACAAAATCTTATATATCATGCATTATTGTGATTAGAAAAGAAAAGACAAGAAATAAGATTAGGCAAATCACGGTGAAAAGATTGCAAATGCTAATTGATTAGATATTTGTTTTGTTAATTTTTTTTATTAAATTTTTTTTTTGGAGAAAATTTGTTTTGTTAAATTAAATAGATTAAATTGATGGTTGATCTTCTATATCTCAAGTTGTTAAAGACAGAAAACTACGAGTCAGTGGAATATTGTCTGGAGATTGATGACCCCCCTTCTAGCTCCCTTATACAAGGACAAATTAAAAAGAAGGATTAATAAAACCATTAATGCACCATTTTTAAATATAAAAATAGGAAATGATTTTTTTTTTTTTTTGTTGTTCTTAGCTGTTGATTTTTTTTAAATTTTTTTTTTGGAGGACAAATGAATGGTTGGTGTTTACTCAATTTGTTCCATATCTATTACTCTAGGATTCCATTACATTATTAATTATTCTCTCTCTAACTCCTAAAATCAAGACGTATTTATTGAGTTTTTTAAGAGCTCTGCAGCGGTGGTACACGACACCTATTTAGGAACATGGGAGTAAAATTCAAATTTCATCCGACTAATTAATCAAAAAAAAAAAAAAAACAATATCAATTGCCATTTTTTATATTATTAAAGAAAGAATAAGTCTAAGCTTAGAGTCTTTGATAACCTAAACATCAACTTGAGTAAACCTACAACTATCCAACTTTGGTGCTTCACTTTCAAACCATATATATGCCTACTATATATATATAATGTGACACTTTAAAGAACCTAGGAATATATAGTATAGCCTTTTCTTTTTCTTCAATTCAAAACCATAGTACAACCTTTTAGTATTCATGATATCTTTGTAATTGTTACAACTAATTATTGAGGATTTCAACTTGTCATATACATGGTTAGAAAGATTTAATTAAATAACACCTAATAAACACACATATACATGAATGTAAGTGTGATTATGTGTAAATTCCGGTTCAAATCCCTCAAGTGTAAATAATCAGGTGTAGCATCTAATTTCCGTTATATAATACTCATTATAATTCAATTTATCGTAACAAAAATGATCATTCATCTATAGTAACATAAAAAAATATTTTTAAATGTGTTTCATTTATGGAAAATTGATATATATATATATATATATATATATATATATATATATATATATATATATATATATATATATATATATTATAATGTTGATGTGTGTAAAATACGGTAGAATATGAGTGGGTGATTAAAGTCGTTCAACGGTTGTACGTAGGCTTATGAGATCCTCTACACATGGTTGAAATACACTATTTGATTTGAAACCGCAGATTTACATATATAAATAACGAACGACTAAGTATACATACATACATATTTGGATTATTACGTGTAAATCAGTGGCGTAAAATCACATAGTGTATATGAAACGACATGATGTAGATTCTACAAAACCGATTTACGTAATAAAGAACTAACACACTTAATTTGGAATAATATATATATATATAGAGGATAAATAAATTAGTAGTAGGGAAGATGAGTAGTTTCATAAACCGGCAACTCTTGTGTGTATCTCTCCATTATCCAATGCTCCAAATATATCCAACTCGAATAAATCCGAGCTTCCACAACTTGCTGCATCTTCTTCTTCTTCTTCTTCCTCCGTTTCGGTTTTCTTTTGATAATTATTTACGAGAAAATCTCTAGCAGCTTCTCCCACTCGTCGATTTTTCTTCATCATGTGCGCCATGATCTCTTCATCAATGGCGGTTTTCATAATACTGACGTTGTTGTTGTTGTTGGGGAAGTCCTCATCATCGGAGATCGCGCTCATCGGAAAGAAGCTCACCTTCCTTGATCTCCCGCCGCCGGAGGATTTCCCACTCGGCGGCGGCGGCATTTTGCCGCTCAGGCACGACCTCGAGAATGAGGAAGCAGACGACGACGTGGATGGGTAATTGGTCGATTTCAGCGTTGGAGAATTTTCGCCGCCGGGGATGGTTGGGGTTCCGGTCTGCTTCTTCTTCAGACCTAGGTTTCCGGCGGTGAAGAGTGAGTTCAGAAATCCGGCGAGTTTCCGGCCGGGAGAAATCGGCTGCTTCATCTTCTTCAAATCGCCGTATATTCTCAGCGCTCGCAGTTTCGTCTTCGATTTCTGCCCCATTCGATCCTCAAACCCCCGTCGATCACGCGGACTGATAATTACTTCGGGATCCGTATTGATCTCGCCACCGCCGCCGAATTTCTGCGACCGAAACGATTCAGCTTCCGAGGAGGAGAAGAAACCTCCGCCTCCGCCCCCGCCGCCGCTGCCGCCTAATGAATCCCAAGAGCTGGCGGAGCTCGAACCGTGCCGGATTTTTCGAGTCTTATTCGCCTCCATCCTTTTCTCAACCATGCAAGCACGCTGGTAATAATCATTCGCCGGAATTCCTAATTCATCACTCTTAATGTACGCTGGGCGCACGTTAGCATGACCGTCACTCTTCTTCGTTATCGTGTGCATCTCTTCTTCCGGCCGATCGATCGACCGGTAAATCTCGTCGAGCAACACGGAGGAGAAGGATGGGCAGCTGTTCGATGATGACGATGAATATCCACCGAAGTGTGAGGAACTGTGTGTAAACTGTGTGTGAGAGATATTACTCTCTCTCCTATCCACCATTGTTTAGTTTAGAGAGAGAAAGATAGTCTAGGGTTTCAAATATAAGAGATGATATGTGTGTGTGAGAGAGTGTGTGCGTGTGTGTGTGAGAGAGAGAGAGTGTTATTTGCTGTTTTACTCGACTGTGGAGTGATGTGGTTATATACTAGGGTTGAAGAGGGGCTGAAGTGGAAATAATGAAAAGATATGGGGCGAGTTTTGAAATAATTTGATTCAAGTGGGGCCAATTTGGAATGTTGTACCACATATATAATTGTACAATGTTTAGAGATGATAACATATAATATTATGTATAAATAAAGGTGCTTATGATTGAGATGGAATTGGAGGTTGTGGTGTGTGAAGATAAAATATTAGGTGTACTAATTGTGGTGTGAATTTTTTATCATATTTTTTTAATATATTTCACAGCTAAGTGTGTGGGATTTTTTTTTTTTTTTCTTTGGTTTTAGTGTGTTTATATATTATAAAGTATCAACGATTCTATAATGAAGGATATGTACATTAATTATTTAGGTCCCGTTTGGATGGAGAGATTACTTATGATTAACTAATAAATAGTTGAACTTTGTTGGATATTTGATATTTTCAATAACTTGCCGACACGCAACTATTATGTTATTATCGCTTATCTTGCCTTTTAAGCATGTTTTTTGTTGGACCTTCCAATGTCCAACAAAACAATTGAATTTCATTAGATTATTTAGTCTTATTTTTGCTAATTTTATCTTTACAACCAAACGGGACCTTAGTATATATATAAATATTTATAATATATTGTTCGAAAAAAAAATTATAACATAATGTTAGCCCATTGGGCTATGGAAACGAGGATAATGTTGAGCCCGAAAGTTTACAATGTGACATGGAACGAGGATAATGTTGAGCCCATTACAGAAAGTTTACAATGTGACATTGATAAGTGTTCGTTTGCACGATTTTTGCTTATCAAATCTTCGAGTTTTGGTCTTCGTTCGTTCGAGTTTCGGCTTTATTTGTATATATTATTGCGTTTCTTGTTTTATTTCTATTTCAGGTTTTTATTAGGTATTTTTGCCGAGTCGAAGCCATTTGAATGCGAAACCGAATTTTCAAACCAATTTGGGGGCCAAGAAGACCCAAATCGCGATCTGACATCTCTGGATAGCGATCTGGGGGTTGTCACAGAACGAAAATGGATCAAGACTCAGATCGCGATCCAGCATTCCGGATCGCGATCTGGGAGTGCTTACAGAGAAGAAATAGGGGTCAAATCCAGATCGCGATCCAAAAGTCGGATCGCGATCTGGGGGGTCTGACATAGAAGAAATAGGGGTCAAATCCAGATCGCGATCCAGAATGTCGGATCGCGATCTGGGGGGTCTTACAGAGAGTAAATGTTACATGACCCAGATCGCGATCCACATTCCTGGATCGCGATCTGGGCACGCCTTTTGAGGAAGATAATTTATTTTGCAAAGCTTCTTGAGGAAGCTTTGCATTTCACTATAAATAGAAAGGCTCTTTCATTCTTCATTCCTTCTTCGACTTTTTACGTCTTTCTCTTCGGTTTTCGCCAGTTCTTCGAGGGAAGCTTCGACGAGGGTTTCGACTCGGATTTTTCATAAGCTTTTCTTTACGTTTAGTTTATGATTTCTCGTGTTCTTCATTTGGATGCTATGTTTTTAATGAACTGAGCATTTTCTTTTAGGGAAATGAAACCTTGTATATATTGATTTTGATTTCCAGATTTGTGATCTATTTGTCGTTCTTTGATTCTGTTTATGTTTCATGTATTAAATGCTTTCGATTGTTTGGCCAACAATTGAATTGATTGTAAATGGGAATGAACTCGAGAGAGGATTTCTCGTTTGATTTTACGAAAACATAGCTCGGGTTGTGGAAACGGAGACGTGATGCACCTCGGGTAGCCCTTAAGGACTTGACCTAAATGCTCTCTTAATATCAGGTTCTGAACGGAGACGTCGGACCTGTGGGTAGACTCTAACTACACTGGAGACGGGGGTTAGGGTACTTTAGTGTCTGGGTTAGTGAACATAGAATTGACAATAGATTCGGATTTGTAGATCTTTATCGATAGTACATTGGTGGATTTTACCCTATAAGCCATTACACGTCGGAATTCCTCGTTTATACTGGCGGACCGTTGTTTTTATTTATTATTTCCTTTTAGTTTCATTTTTCCCATCTTTTTCTCCCGTCTAGATAAAGTTTAGGATAGTATAATTACGGTACTTGGTAAATTTAGGAACTTAATTCCCCGTGGATCGATATCTAGAATTCACTATTCTAGAAAACGCGATACTGTACACTTGCGGTTTTTCATACGTAGGTTTTACGCGCGTTGCCGGGGACATGGAACGAGGAAATGCCCACTTGACATTATAAGGCGGCGATAACATCTGCGACGACCCTTTCCCATTTGAACTGACTCAACTCGTAAGTAACAGGTCAGCTTGCCTTCAGCAGACAGACAACTCGGAGTAATCATATCACACCCAACGTATAAGTATGATTAGAGACAGAAAGGGAGCCCACCACCCTGATCATAATGCATGTATAAGTACAACCTTGAGAAGTAAGGAATGTGACGCGTATGAAAAAATACACATAACTTTTGTTACGTAAACTAAAAATACACATATATTATTTCTCATCGATGTCGACTGACTTGATCGTTAAAAGTTCTGACGCCGGGACCGAGAAACCCTCCATCGGCAATCGCCACTCCTTTCTTGCCGGTCTCTCGGCACCATGTGGGCTTTCTCTTTGGGCTTCTCCCATTCTAGGCCCATCATACATCTAGCCATATAGGCCACATCAATTGAGTATTAAATTTCTTTTAAGTTTTATCATTTGATAAGATTTTGAATTTCGACTCACTTCGTATAAATATTAATTTTAAAACATATAAAATAAAATAAACTACATATCACGGTCAACTCACTTAAACTAGCTCATTCAAATTTTATTTATTTAACAATCAAGTCAAACTCAATTTTTTTATTAAACTCAAACCAATTCTTTTATTGTTCAATCCAAATCATATTAAATGGCAAAAAATATTTAAAAACAATAAAAAAGAGGTTCCACCTATTATAATAATAATAATAATAATAATAATAATAATAATAATAATAATAATAATAATAATAATAATAATAATAATAATAATAATAATTATTATTATTATTATTATTATTATTATTATTATTATTATTATTATTATTATTATTATTATTATTATTATTAAAAAAAGAAGCGGGTGGCGTTAGATATAAAAAGGCATTAATACATAACTGCCGACACTATTTAGTCAACCGCTAAATTTAAGCCATATCACCCATCCTTCATTTCACTCCCCCCCCCCCACCCCCCACCATTCCTTCCGGGCCCACTCTCTCTCATCACCACCCAATCCCCACCCCCGTTCTGTCAACGCCGCCGTCACTCCCTCCGCCGCAGCGCCGTCGCCGTTTCCCCCGGCCCCAAGGTACAATCGAAAAAAAAATAAACATTTCCAAAGAAAACGCACAACTAATTCCGTTGAATTTTTTTTTGTTTTCTGTTTTTTGCTTTAACATAATTCAAGATGTCGTCGCCGCTGCTGCGAAGGAGGAGAAGGGCCGCGCCGGAAAACGAGCCGAGAGGATCCGACCCGGAAGAGGAAAAACCCGAGACGACCCGGAAGAGGAAACCCGAGAAGCAATGGTCCTGCGTGGACAACTGCTTCTGGTTCATCGGGTGCATCTGCGTTCTATGGTGGGTGCTCTTGTTTCTCTACAACATCATGCCTTCTTCTCTCCCACAGTACGTTACCGAGGCGATAACGGGTCATCTACCCGACCCGCCCGGGTTGAAGCTGAGGAAGGAGGGTTTGACAGCTAAGCACCCCGTTGTTTTCGTTCCCGGAATCGTCACCGGAGGTTTGGAGCTCTGGGAGGGCCACGATTGCGCCGACGGCTTATTCCGTAAGAGATTGTGGGGCGGCACTTTCGGCGAAGTCTACAAAAGGTATTTTTTATTAAAAAAAAGCTCGTTTGGTTGGGGAGATCAGTCATGATTAATTAAATAATAAAATTTTGTTTGACGTTTGGTATCCTTAAATAACTTGTCGGGTCGACCTATAAATATTATGTTATCATGTCTTATCTTGACTTCTAGGCATGTTTTTTTACTAAATCATCGATCGGGTTTCATTAGATTATTTAATTTTATCTTGGCAACCAAACGAGGCCTTAAGAGTAGAAATTAAATAGGATTCGATTTTTCGATTTTCGATTCATATTTCTGCAGACCTTCGTGTTGGGTGGAGCACATGTCGCTGGACAACGAAACGGGCCTGGATCCTCCGGGCATACGCGTCCGGCCGGTGACGGGTCTCGTCGCCGCGGACTATTTCGCGGCCGGGTATTTCGTGTGGGCGGTTTTAATTGCTAATCTTGCCCACATTGGATATGAGGAGAAGACAATGTACATGGCCTCGTACGATTGGCGGATTTCGTTTCAAAACACGGAGGTTTTTTATTAGCTTTATAGTTTCGTGTTGCGATTAATTGATACGGACTTGCTTCGGATTAATTTACGATTTTTGGTTGCAGGTTCGTGATCAGACGTTGAGTAGAATCAAAAGTAATATAGAACTTATGGTTAATACGAACGGTGGGAATAAGGCGGTAATAATCCCGCACTCGATGGGGGTTTTGTACTTTCTTCACTTCATGAAGTGGGTGGAGGCGCCCGCCCCCATGGGGGGCGGGGGTGGGCCCGGTTGGTGCGATAAGCATATTAAGGCCGTGATGAATATCGGTGGGCCGCTTTTAGGCGTTCCGAAAGCTGTTTCTGGCCTTTTTTCCACCGAAGCTAAGGATATTGCCGTTGCGAGGTACATATATATTTTTTTTTTTTTTTTGTGGGACGATGAAAAATCGAATCTTTATTTAATTGCACATTTTTTCGTTGTGTGTTGTTGTTTGTTACAGGGCGATAGCGCCGGGGGTTCTTGATTTGGATTTATTTCAAATTCACACTTTGCAGAAATTAATGAAGATGACTAGGACGTGGGATTCGACGATGTCTATGATACCTAAAGGCGGAGATACTATATGGGGCGGTCTCGATTGGTCTCCGGAGGAAGAATATTCTCCTAGTGGAAGAAAACGGAATACGAATAATGATACTACGGATTCTTCCGAGGATGGAAAGGACGAAGGGAAACGAAAACGTGCCCCTTTTGGAAGAATGATATCGTTCGGAAAAGATGTGGCGGACGCGGATGCTTCCGAGATTAACCGAATTGATTTCCGGGTAAAAAAAATATTCAATGATAATTTACAAACGAAAGATATAAAAAAAAAAAAATCCATTTTGTTCATGTTTCTTGATTTATAATAATGTCGAACAAAATATATATATACTACTAGGATGCGATAAAGGGTGACAACGTGGCGAACAACACATGTGTGGATGTGTGGACGGAGTATCATGACATGGGGTTGGATGGAATCGAAGCCGTTTCAGATTACAAAGCTTATACGGCCGGAGACGTAGTGGATCTTTTGAGCTTCGTCGCCCCGAAAATGATGGCGAGAGGGGACGCTCATTTCTCGTACGGGATTGCCGATAATTTGGATGATCCAAAGTATTTGCACTACAAGTATTGGTCAAATCCATTGGAAACAAAGTGAGTGAACTTCTTCATTGTCTTCATAAGTTTGAGTTTTAGCATCATTTTTTACTTCCTTAATCGTCTAGAAAACTCGGTGGCGGAGCTAGTACAGGGCTCTGGGGGCCATGGCCTCCGCCACTTTTCATATATATATTTTTTTGATATTTTATATAAAATTTGTTATTTTTATCCCATGAAGATAACTTTGAACGGAATTTCGAATTCCGCCAATGCCGATTTTTAAAATTTCCAGTTTTGAAACAATTTTTGTTTTCATTCCGAATTCCGAAAGTTCTGATCTTTTATTTTTCCGATTTTGGTTGGAACAAAATTGGAATATTTATTAGATTCCGATCTCTGATCCGATTTTAATTTTTTAAAATATTTACAAAATTCTGACTTCTTTTTCTCCAGCAAATTTCGCTTATTATATCAATATTATTATGTATTTTATTTTTTATTATTATAGGTTATCAATAAAATGAAATTATGAGTTTCAGCGATTACAATTTAAAAAATTCCGATTCTGCAAACAAGCTTTTACATTCCAATTTCCGAAATTCAGATTCCAAATTTTCTTTTTTATTTTCTTAGAACAAAATTGGAATTAGTTACACACCTCCAAAAGAAAAAAAAATGGAATTTTTCCGAAAGTGCAAATTCCGATTCGTCCAATTCCCACACCAATTTTCTTCTTGAATCAATGTTGTTCTTTTCTTTTTCCAGGTTGCCAAATGCTCCCGAAATGGAGATCTTCTCAATGTACGGAGTCGGAATCCCAACCGAACGAGCCTACGTCTACCGCCAAACTCCGTCAGGCGAATGCCACATCCCGTTCCAAATCGACACATCAGCAAGCGAAGAAGACGAGGACATGTGCTTGAAAGACGGCGTCTACACGGTGGAAGGAGACGAGACCGTCCCCGTCTTGAGCGCGGGCTTCATGGGTGCAAAGGGCTGGCGTGGAAAAACGAGATTCAACCCCTCGGGAATCAAAAACTACATTAGAGAATACGATCACGCCCCTCCGGCCAATCTTCTAGAAGGCCGCGGGTCCCAAAGTGGGGCCCACGTCGATATAATGGGGAACTTTGCTTTGATTGAGGACGTTATGAGAGTTGCTGCGGGGGCCACGGGAGACGAATTGGGAGGCGATCAAGTTTGTTCGGACATCTTTAAGTGGTCGGAGAAGATCGACCTAAATTTATAACGTTTCGAGACTTCTTTAAGGTAAAATTACGTCTATTACATGGGCCGAAGTAATTAACGTTGTAATTTATGAATTGTATGATAATTCTTTGTGTAAATTACATTGTATGATGATTGAATAGGAGAAGAGCAACTCCAATGGTGATGAGTAATTAAGATTGGAGCATCAAATTTCGTTTTGATTTCATATTGCATCTATAACTAATATAAATTGTGTTGAATATGAATTATGTTAAATATGGAATTAATAAATCTTTATTACATATTACATTTAAAGTAGAATCTCGATAAATTAATAACCTCGATTAAATTATAGTTTCTTCTGGTCCCGACTCGTTAAAAACCTCCTAAGAATATTAGTTCGATAATTTAATATTTCGCTAACTTAATAGAATTTTGCTCGTTCCGACTCTATTAATTTATAGAGGTTTAATTCTATAACTAATGAACATGTGACTTCATGAAAAATGATTTAATTGTCTTTTTTATTTTTAATCTATATATATAATATAAAAAGAGGATCTATGCCCTCAATGATTGACATGTGGCAAATGATGATGTCATTTGTCAAAATTGCTTAGTTGGAGTTCAATTGATTAGGTGGATTCTTCAATTGATTAGGTGGCATTTTTATTTATGGATGTTTTTAAGTTCTTTCCTATTTTACATTTACACAATCACTTAATAATTACCACATGTATATATATTATTTCCAAAGTTAATATTTTATAAATTCGAAATAAAAAAAAATGTTATTTATATTTTCAGTATTTCAAAATATATTTATTGAAAAAAAATACATGAAACTCAATTTTTTTACGAATATTCAAATAATTTTCATAAAAAAACTATTTTTTTAAATACTAAAATATTAAAATAAAGGAATATGTTGTTGTTTTTTTTTTTTTTTTTAATTTTCAATATTTTAGAATATTCGAATATCCATTCCATTAAAAATAATAAAAAAAAAATGTTTTATTTTTTAATTGAACTATTTGATAAATATACACTATTTTTTCGTATATAATTTTTATTATACCATATTTCAAATTAAAAATAATTATACTATTTAATAAATATGCAATATTTTGAAATTTGAAAATTTAACAATTTAAATGCAGTATATTTTAACAATTTAAAGCATATTTGTTGTTTTCTAAATTTTTTGTGATCTCCAACCCGCAATTGTTAGGACAAGAAATTGTTTTCTAAATGCAGTAGTTTATCAGTATATTTCGAAAACACTATTTAATATATAATATGTTTCGAACTATAAACCGGATTATGCATTATATTTGTCAATTACTATTTCAAATAAAATATCAAATCACCAATACAAAGGAATCTTTAATATTCCAAGATCCTTCATATCATCTTTGATTGATTTAATTTACACTTTAATTCAAAATTGAATGGTAAAAAATAAAAATTGTATCTTCATATTTAATGTTTTTATATTGCAAGATTGTTTTCCACAAGTTTTTTTTTTTTTTTTGGGTTGTTTCCTTTATTTGTTTGATTTGATTTCATTTACTAATATATAAATCTTTTGAATTTTTAAATTTTCCATAGAATTAAGTTCATTTTCAATACTATATAAACCCCTCAATGTTCATTTCATTTTTATCTACCACCATTCGATTACAAAGTGCACAATGTTCGTATTATACAGTTTCATATTACATTTTTTCTATCATTTCTTATAGATTATTATAAGTATATATATGCATAGTTTTATATTCATAATTATTTTTATATATACATATTAGTACTATTTGTATTTCTTTCTTTTGGGTTTTTATTTTAATATACTTTTTTAATTGTTTTCATGCAGTTTATTAAATAAAGTCGTTCGTACTTTATGATGATCAAAAAAATTGTTTGCGCTCAGTCCAAACAATGTGTTCTTTGTAACGCGTATTTTGATCCTAATTTCGATCCATGTATGTGCGTCTCATGTAGGGAATCAATCAAAGTCGTTCCACGCTCTGGATCTTGCATTGTATGTGGGATGACTAAAATGGAGATTTTTTTCCCAAGTCACAAGTTTATCGCCGCGACTCCCCGCTGACCTGCCGTCTTCCAGAGCTTTTTTCTTTTT